AACTGGACAATCTCGATATTATATTCAGATGAAAGAAAAAATTGAAGAATGGGAACGTGAATCAATTGAGAAAATTTATCAAGTAGCTAATGATGCTCGAAAAAATTTAGAAAATATGATTGAAAAACATTCAACAAAATTAATTGAATGTTTAACTAAAGTTGCATGTCAAATAAATGAAGCACGTAAAGAAGATGAATTTTTTGAGACGGATATAAATGAGTGGATAAATCAATTGAATAAATTAAAAAATGATATATATCAACCACCAACATTTGATATTCAATATAGTGATAATAATATTTCGTTTATATCGAAAATAAATATTGGAATATGTGATGAAGGTTTTGGAAGAATACTTGGTAATGTTCAATTAGAAGATAATGGTCAAGTTGCTATTCATGTTGGATCGGATGATTATTCAACAGTACGTGGAAAAAATCATTATTCATATGGAAAACATCGACTTAGATTTAAAATTGAAGAATATTGTTCATCAAAATGGATATTTATTGGAATTATATCGCAAGATATACCAATGGAACAACTTTCAATTAAAAGTCGGTCATTATATGGTTGGGCTGGACCTAATCAAGTTTATATAAATGGTCGTTTTCATGCTAGTTTCAATCAATATATAAGTGATGCGCAACAAGATGATATATTAGAATTATTTATTAATTGTGATGCACAAAAAATTAGTTTAACAAATGAACGAACACAAAGTTCATATGAACTTGATATTGATTTGAAACAATGTCCATTTCCATGGCAACTCAATATTAATATGTATTTTCGTGGTGATCGTATCCGTTTTCTTTCGAACTAACTCAAATAAACGAATAAAAACAATATTACATTTTCTTCGTGAAATGTGTCTTCGTATACGACACGAAATTTTAAATATAGGATGTATATTATCAATAGAAGAACTTTTCTAGAACAATATCTCTAATAATGATTCATCGCCATCGTTCGAATTTGAAAGTATACTGAGACATTTTTTTCTAGTATCTTGAGTTGTATATACACTAACAAGGGAACCTCACCAACTGATACACCCCATTTGAACTCATATTAGACTCACAAGCAGGTCTTAGTGAGACTAGAAAAAACCTAAAAGGATTTCTGACCATAGGTCTTTAGAGCCGAATTATAGCCTTTTTACTGAATTTTTGACCATTTTTTAGATATTGAGCAAAAAATCAAATAACAAAGTTTTGAGCTGAAACTTTGTCCATATACAGGTCTAATCATCTATAGACTATCCTGAAGATTTCACCTGAAAAAAACTATTTCTTTGTCGAGATAGTGGATATTCAAGTAAATTGGCTTTTTGCTCCTGGTCTATAATAAATGATGAGTTTTTACAAATTCCATATTTCAACAAAGGAACAGTTTTTTCAGGTGAAATCTTCAGGATAGTCTATAGATGATTAGACCTGTATATGGACAAAGTTTCAGCTCAAAACTTTGTTATTTGATTTTTTGCTCAATATCTAAAAAATGGTCAAAAATTCAGTAAAAAGGCTATAACTCGGCTCTAAAGACCTATGGTCAGAAATCCTTTTAGGTTCTTTCTAGTCTCACTAAGACCTGCTTGTGAGTCTAATATGAGTCCAAATGGAGTGTATCAGTTGGTGAGGTTCTCTCGTAAGATAAATACATCGATTTAATATTATTGATGATGAGACGTCTTTTTGCTAAGATCTTACTCGAGATAAAAAAAATAAGGTAAAACAATCGATTCTAATCTGATATTTTGCTTTGCTTTTTTATAGAAGTCCGTGACTGATATAAATAATTATACTTGATCGAACCATGAAGAGATTCACGTATGCCTACAATACACAGAAATATCGATATAGATCACAGAAAATACTTTGCCTTTTAATTCAAAGAAAACCTTTACAAGTAAACAAAAATTCGTGAATGTTATAACTAATCTATTGTTTATATATCAAATCATAGAACAAAAACGAATTATCATACAATAAAATGTTGATAATGTAAACTAACTGCATGATTTGTTGGTTTGACATTTATATATATATACTATCTTAGTTTCCGTTAGTATTTAATGAATTCTCGACTATTTTGCTGTTAATACAAGTGAAGTATTTCTCGTTTAGTTCTCCATGATATGAATTACATTAGCATTTGTTTATTCTTTTAAAATCTTGAAGAACAAACAAACATTAGACATTAATTAAAAATTACATAGTGATATTAAGATAAAATCTTGTTTAATAGGACATAAGCATAGATACAAAAAAAACATTGCCTATAATTATGTATTATATTTGATTAATGATTGAGACATCGGACCTTTTCGATAAAAGTGTATATGTTTTTTTTTTGATATTCAAAATTAGAGAATTAAAGTCTACTACTGTCAATATATTCAAAATAGTTTGATTGATATTTTTAATATGTTAGATATCATACGCAATTACCTATATCATTCAAATAGGATGACTAGACGATAATTATAAATATAACGGTTGAACGTAAATAAAGTAATCTGATCATAAGAACATTAATCAAATGTATAGTACATATCATTCAAAATTAAACAAAAAAAACAATGAAGATGAAACGCTTTTTCATTCATTTACCAAACGAGTATATTTGATTGAAGTTGTTTTCTAAAATTTAATTTATTATTGCTTATTGAATGAATTATAATCATGATGAAAATTTTCTTTGTGTATTAACTAATATCTATTATTGAATATAAAAATTGAGCGATATAAATAACGAACACATAACAAGAAAAAAAAACAAGAAAATAATAATTACTATAACGTTCTTGGTAGATCTTCTTCGCAACGATATTTATATAAACTTAAATTTCTATTTGATTGAGGATATTTAAGTTCTTCGAAACATAAACTATGTGTTGCATTACGTTCACTTTTAACAAACGGATATGTTTTATGTAATTCTTTACATGGTACACGCCAATTATCTGTTGGTCCACGATTATAACGATGTAAAAATGTATTACCTTCACAAGCAAAAAATACACTTGAACGACCTAATCGAACCATTGATTTAAGTGATAAACGTGGATGACGTGGACTAGGTATAAGTAATGGACCTAATACACGTAAATATACCGGATCAACATTAGTTTTAGCTAAATAATACATTGTACCAAGATTATGTTGATGTTTTGGATATGCATAGATATGCGTTGCATTTTCTTCATAAGGAAATATATCAATTTTAGGCCAACGATAATTCGTACGATTAACAATGGGTGAACGAAGTGAAAATATTTTATAAGATGTAACTTTATAAATATTTTTAAAACGATATACAACTAAATCTTTATGAAAAGATGGTCGACTAAGAATTAAATAAAAAAGAATTATTTAAATAATAAAAGAAGAAGACAAAATTTACTCTTTAGATAATCTTATTCCGCTACTTTCAGTTGTTGTGGTTGTTGTTGTTGTTGATACACCTTTAATCACGGGTATCTCTAATTGACGAAATGATGTAAGAATTTTATTTGTAGCCGATTGTGGAATAAATAAATCAATATCTGTATCCCATGGTATAACATCATGATGACGAAGAACACCAATTAATGTACCTTTAGTAAGAAAATATTTAATTTGTGCTTGATGTAATATAAGTTGAACATTGATCATTAATTGTAACATATGAAAATAATCACATGGTGAAACATCTGTTGGTAAGATTGAATTATTAACTGAACGTAAAGTTTTTAAATCAAAATGATAATATAGACCCATACCAACTGGACGTTTTATTTCATTAATAGGGTAAAATGATTCATTGATATAATGTACATAACGTGTTATATCAATAGAATCATAACAATAAGAACCATTATGATGACATAAATCACAAGCATCATGTACAAATTTTGTTAATATTCCACGCCAAACTTCTATAAGTTTATTCCATATCGATTGGACATCACTAAGTGACATTTGAGAATCAAATAATTGATCTAGTAATAATTTGACATCGTCATATGTTAATGAATTTGCAGATGAAAATGAAAAATCTTGTGGTGTTTGACTAGAAATATATGTTTCGACATTATGTCTATTATTGTCTGACTGATATAGTACAAGAGTAGCAGCACATAGACCACAAAGAATCATACATGGTATCCACAAACGTCGATTGTTAATAAGCATTCGAGCGAATAGGACAGGATTCGTATACATTTGCAGTTTTAAATAAGTTTGTTTGTGTAATAAATCTATGTCTATATATTATATATATATATATAAGGATATAACCGCGACAATTCGAGGGTTCTAGTAAATTAATAGGAAGTATCCAGTAAGTTTGTACTTACAAAGGATAGTTAGATGAGTACAGTTACTACAATCTTGTCCATATTATATAGGAAAGAGAAAAAAATTATAGTTATAGCAACAAACAACCTTTTTATATTCTCTTTTTCTTCCTTATGATACCATTATATCTTTTTCTTCCTCTCTGTCTCTCTAGCACATATATATCTGTTGAAAGCAGAAGACGAATCTATAGAACAAGAAAAACAGAGAATTCTTGCCTGTTTATTACATCATTTCTTCGAGAAAAATGGGGTTAATGATCATCATCCTACGTTTATCAGAATATGTAACAGGCATGGGTGTCGTATTTCTTTTTCCATGTATGCATGTATATATTTATCTATTCTGCAATAATTTGCACAAAGAGAAAGAAATAATAAACGACGAGAACTTTCAGAACAAATCAAAGAAGATAACTTCTTATATGAAACAGACAAACCACAATGAAAGTATTCACAATATAACGAAAGAACACAAATAAAACAAACCAAAAAAAAAGATAAAAACGAAAAAAAAACGTATTGAAATAAGAACAATTATAAAAAAGCATTACTCTCAATTAAAAGTATTGTAGTTCAGACAAGATAAAGGAATAAATAACATTTTTTTCAATATTATCTATGTATATGTTTTGTTTTATTGCCAAAAATTCTATCACAGTTTACGCCATGTCCATGCTTCATTAGTATTAAGCTAAAATATGAAATTATATATACATATAGAGATATCATTGAATATGTTTGTATACAAAACCTTTTTGGAATGATGTCGTCTTGGCAAAACTCGATAGTCTTTAACGCTATTATCAGAATCACATGGTGGTGAATGATTTGCTGCAAATTGATTTCTTGTTGCTGTAACATATGTACTTGCTGCTGGTCCAGTTAATATATTTGATAGTACACTTCCACCATTATTTGCACGATAAGCAATGGTATACACAGGTTGAGTTGGATTTGAAACTACTAGTGATGGTTGTCCAGAACCATATGTTAACATATTAGTTGCTTTTGGCTAAATAAATAAAAAATAGAATAAGAATGTTTTTTTTCTTCTGTTAAATCTTACTGCTGATTGAATAATTTCTTCGACAAATTGTTGTTTTAATGGTTGTTGAATAACATACGTCATTGGTTGTTTATTGTTAGTATTATTATTATTATTATTGTTACTTGGATTGTTTGATGGTGTATGAGGCGTTTGTATTATTGGTTGTGTTGATTGTTGAGTTGGTGCTTGCATTTGAGGTTGATAATAAGGAACAGGTATTGGAATAAATTGAGGTTGCTTTGTATTGTTGTGTTCTTGAGAATTAATTTTACCAGATGTATTATCGCGTGGACTATGAGATCTTGATCGATAACTTGAACGATGACGAGAACGACGACGTGAACGACTCATATGAGGTAATTCATCCATTTCAGAACTCTATTAAAATCACAATTTTAATACATATATACTATATGAATATATGTTAAGAACTTACTTCAGTCATTAAATGTCGATGATGATAAGGATCAGACTACAAATATTTCGAAAAGTTTAGACTAAAACATAAAATTCTTTTTTATTATTTATAACTTACATTTGAATGTGGATATATTGGACTTGATGGTCTTGAATATGCAAATAATCCTGCAGAATTTTGAAATGTTGGATTATATGCACCATTACTTCCATTTTGTTGTATTGGAGCACCGTAACTTGGTGGTGGAGGATAACCTAATGGATTTTGATTATTATTATTATTTGTACCATTTATTTGATAACAAGTATTTGGATAATCATGACCAGGTAAATGTTGTGGATGAAGATACTGTTGTTGTTGCTTTTTTAATCCTGATGTCATGTTACTACTTAGAAATATCAAAGAAAAAAAAGAGATCGTATTTTATCTGAAAATAATTTCGAAATACCTTTCAGATGGTGCTTTAAAAACACTTCCAGCATATTTATCCACTGAATGACTAAGAATTCCTGTAACTTGCATACTACGATAATCACACCAATTAAATATTGAAGCAAAAATAAAACAAAGAGAAGCAAGAAAGGATAAAACAATATTCGGAGTAATTAGCCACATGCCCCAACGGCGAGGGTTATCATTATTATTTAAACGTAAACGTTCAACATAAACTATTGATTCTGTTGCAAATACAGTCATACCAATTGTTGTAAATATAACTAAAATAAATAAATAAATTAAAAATAGAATTATCTTATGATCATAAACAACAGAAAAAAAGAGACACTTCCTATATGAATATATTTATTTCATTGACTATAAACTATTATATCATCAAGACACAGGGGCGTAGCGAGGTCTCCAAGGCAGGGGGGGGGGGCGCAAAAGTTTAGTAGTTCAAGTTCTAAAGGCAGGAGAGAGTGCAACACTCTTTTTGCTTAAATCTAACACCAGAAAACACGTAAAAACCCATGTTTTTGATTTTATTGACCAAAAAAAAA